TATACATTTCTCTTACTATTTAAGCTTAATCTAAACTTGATTTACGACAAAGCATTAATTTTTCAGTCATTTGATTCAATCCATGAAATTATCTTATAAAAAGCTGAACAATTTGAGTAAATTATCAATGCACTTATCAATGAAATTGACATAAATCATTTACGTTGCTTTGTCACCATGACAAAAGGCGGATATATTTATCCCGTTTTATTGAGAGAATCGAGAGGAACAACCACGGGGAATGGATATGCCCACCTCTTCCGTGGAAAGAAACTGCATGATACTTTTATCGTCCGTGAGGCTAACCAGTGTCGAAGATCACACTTAAAGTGATCACTCGGGGGAGACAACATGTATATCACACGCACACGAAGAAGTCATCGTCGCGCAAAGAAGGGTAAAGAGTCTAAAAACCGCGGCAAGTCGAAAAACCGCCGTGCGGCATTTCCAATTCTTTTTGCCCCGAGTGGGCCCTGCACACGCGTCGACGTAGCTCCGGGTCAGCTTTCAGGCTCTTAACGTGGTTAAGAAAATATTTTTAAAATAATTTTGCACTTAAGTACCCCCTGTTGTCGGCCCCGCCGTGCCGTTAAACCGGACAAAGATGCGACACGCGTAATGTGCCACGAGAAAGAACGGGATAAAGAGAGAACGGGTAAAAGAGCGTGGGAGGATGTTTTACAGCTTTACTCCATTCCCACGTGTCTCGCCCCCTTACGTTAACGGAAAAAGGGAGAGAGAGAGAGAGAGAGAGAGAGAGAGAGAGAGAGAGAAGGGAGAGAAGAGAGCGAATGAATACAGAGTGTAACGATATTTCTATCATTTAGCACACCGGGAATAATTCGGATGGAATTATGCGGGCCCGTCACGTAGATTAACGCGAATGTTTGCGACCGATTGCGACACGTACAGCTGGGTGTTGTTTAATTAGCTATGAGTGTAGTTGTATCCATGGACCGGATTGATCGCGCGAAAGTAGCGAGAGAATGATTAATATGTAACACAGCTCGTAATAATCAGATCTTTTTGAACGATCCCGCGCTCAAATATCAACTGAAAAAGTTAAAATAAAACCTCGATATAAATTGAGATTAGATAATGAGAGATTATATGAGTCAAGGAGGAAATTTATTGAAGGAAATAAATATTAAATCCTAAAATAGATATTAAATGGAATTAAATACTAAATTAATATTTATAATGCCATGATATAATAATTACAAATTTTATTTAATTCTTTCGTTTTCTCTCTTTGCTTCTTTTTTATTTAAAAAAATTGCTATTTGTCTTTACGAGTTACATCCTTTCTTTGCATATGCCTTTATTTCGTTATCTCCGTTTTTCTATTTTTTCTTCCTTCATTTTCATTTTTTCCTCCGCTTGGTCGCGACTCGACTCGCGCACGGTTGATCGGGCTTAACGAAGGCGGCGCAATAAGAATTGAAAAGGAAATCTTTGCCCCTTTTTTCATCCGATGTACGATTCCGGGCGGAAGAGAGAGAGGCAAATAAACGGAGAGCGCGAAAATCGGGGAACACGAAAATCGGGAAGGAAATGCGGAAAATCGCCTTGGTCGTCTGCAATCACGCTGTCGGTGAGAGAAATTGCCGCGGACTAAGGGAACGCTATCTTCTCCTCTCCTCTCCTCTTTTCTCCCTCTCTCTCCCTCTCTCTCTCTCCCTCTCTCTCTCTCTCTCTCTCTCTCTCTCTCTCTCTCTCTCTCTC